TAACTGTACTAAATATAAATATACCATTAAAAAAATCCTCACCTGAGGATAGAAAGAAACGTCCACATGAGAGACACATCAATTGGTTGTCCCCCACATGTGCCCTGACTAGGGGCTGGATTGGGTCTGCAACCTGAGATAGGTGCCCTTGACTGGGAATCGAACCCATGCTCTAACCACTGAGAAGCAAGCCAGGGCTAAACATACTATCAAATATGTAAATATCTAATGTTCTATCAGGTGGTATAAAAGCTATGAAGAATAATAAGGTAGGGTGAGGAATTGAGTTGTTTTTTTTCCGTTATGTTTCAGAGAAGTCTTCTCTGAGGAGGTGACTTTGGGCTGAGACCTACCAATATTTGAAGAAAGAGTACTCCAGGCACAGGGAACACCAAGTGCAAAGGCCCTGAAGTGGAAACATCATTCCTTAGAACTGTGAGCTTCACTGGACAGGGGTTTCTGTTCTTTCTTGTTCACTGCTACCTCCCAAACACCTAGAACAGGGCCTGGCACACAGTGGGTGTTAAGGAGCATGTTTGCGGAATCCACCCTTTTGTTACTTTTCTCTTCATTCTTTCCTCAGTGGTGTGTTCTGCAATTATCTGGGGCCCTGGGAGGTGTAGACAGGTGACAGACATATACAGAGACATGGAGACACACCTCCTGGAGCCTCTGAGAGCCAGGGAGGAAGTAAGAGCTTGCAAGGGGAGCTCAAAGGTCTTGTGGGGGTGGTGGGAACACGTTGCCTGCAGAAGTAAGCAATTGTGAGAAAGCAAGGATTCCAGCCACCAGCCATTGCTCCACTGAGAGGAGAGGCTGCCAGGCATTGGGAACCCATACAGACATGTTCACCCTGTGGGATGCTTTCTATGTCCTGTTTTCTTGCCTCTCACAAAGAGGATGTTTAATTTTCTTTTGCAAAGAAACTTGCTTCTTCCAGCAGGGCCAGGGCATAGGAGGACAGGAACCAGGCTCTGAACTCCCCAGGCTCTTCCCGAAGCAGGGTGTCGGCCTGCAGCTCCCACCGGACACCCCACTGAGAATAAAGGTGTCCTCTCCACGGCCTCATGAAGAGGTCAAGGAGGGGAAGCTGCCAGGCCAGCTCTGTACTGGAGAGCATCTCACACCTTAAGGGAAAGATGCGGGTGGTCCAGGTGTAGGGGCTATTCAACTGACTCAAACGCCTTGCTGCCCTGGGGCTGAATTGAGGGACCAAAGAGTTGCTCAGTGGGGGGCCTGCATGAAAGGGGAGATAAGAATCCTAAATGCAACCCATGAGAGGCTGCTTTCCCAGCAGGAGTAGTCTTCATTAACTCCTTTCACAAATATGTTATTGAGCAATTACTATGTTGTCAAGCATTGTTCTAAGTGATTTACAAGTATTCATTCAACCTTACCAACGGCCCCAGGCATGATCACGCCCTAGGGGAAACGGAAACTGCCGGCTTGCAGTTGCTCCTGGCCACACTGCTACAAAGTGGCAGAGCTGGGAAAGCTCACTCTGTTAATTGTTGGGCTCTGCTGCTCCCTCCCCCTGAAGGCTGCTTAGTGACCTGTTTTAATGAAAAGCAGGGGTCTGCCTGGAGGGACTGACAAACTATCTTTGAAAAGATTCAATAAGAATTCCAAATGTCACCCGAGGGTCTGCTTTCCTGAAACAACAAAACTCTTAAATGACTCTGAGAAAGGGCCCTACTGTGATGAACAAATAAAGCATTCTTATCCCTGACACAGCTTCAATACCTAGGTCAAGTTTAAAGACATCTGTTCCTTCCAAAGCAGGCTTCCCTGCACAGTCAGATTTCCCTTTCCCTTTGTTTACCCACTACCAGCACATGTTGAGCACCTGCTATTTGCAGTGCCTTGAGGCTTAGCTGAGATATGGGGTAGAGAGCTGGATGAAGGTTAGTCCCTCTCTTAGAAGAGTTCACTTGGCAGAAATAAAATAATGATAATATGACACTTAATAAGCGGCATTTATTGAGCACTTGTTACGTGTCTGGTGGCCCTGTGCTGGGCAATGTTGGAGAGTCTGGGAGGGGAGGGGAGGGGAGGGAAGTGATTAGAGTAGGAAGCTTCTGGGGGGAGGTGGTAGATGTGGGTATGTGTTTCTTTGTCCAAAGTACCCTAGTTCCTTGGGAAGGACCCTACAGACTTTTCTTGAAACCTAGACAGCTGCCTAGCTCCCACCCCCTGCCCCCTTAGCCATCTGGGCCAAGGCCTCTGATGTCAGTCAGGTGTCTCTTTCCCAGGCCTGCCTGTAGCACAGATGTGTAATGGCTCTGAGGGGGTGGGGTATCAGAGGAGAGAGACATCAGAATAGGCCAGAATAGACAGAGGTGTGTGTGTGTGTGTGTGTGTGTGTGTGTGTGTATGTGTGTGTGTGAATACCCCCAAAGCATCTCATCTATTTGTACATGTTCTCAGCCACAAACATACATCTGTGAGCTCCACATGTGTCTTCCTATGTAACTTGCCCGGTTGTATCACTTGGTTGTATATTATGTCTACCCGGTTGCATCTTATGTCTATGGCTGCCTGTCCAATTTGTGTGTTTCTTTTTTAGCACCTGTGTGCATTGGTACTGTCTAGTTGGGAAATTCATCTATATGGGACTGTGTGTGTGTGTGTGTGTGTGTGTGTGTGTGTGTGTGTGCTCCTTGAATGTTTATGTGTCTCCTTTATAATGCTTGTGGGTGATTAGTCTGTTTCTTCTGTGTGTGTCTCCTATGTATGTGTGTCTTCCTTCTCTGCCACTGTGCTTCTGTCTCTCCTTGGTGAGTGGCTGGCTATAGGTATGCATTCATTGGTTGATTCTTGTATGTGCCCTGACTGGACATCAAAACCACCACCTTTGGAGTATCAGGACAATGCTCTAATCAACTGAGCTACCCGGCCAGGGCACTGCAGATGTTTCCTTTGGTGCCACTGTATATGTACCATCTGGTTCCCTTGTTTCTTCTTTATGCAGTTTTAGGTGTATTTCCTTTTTGCAACAATAGGAAGAGTACACTCTATATTCTGACTTTCCTGATTGTGTGCCTGTCTATGTTCCCCATGTGTTTCTTCTCTGACTTGATATGTCAATAGTTATGTGCATACGCTGTGTGTGCAGCTACCTGCTTGAATACAGTTGTGTGCAAGTCTGTGGCTGTGGCTTCTCCGTCTGTACAATCATGTCTGCTGTGAGTACCTCTCTCTGCCACCAGAGCTGGATATGGTCAGAAGTTCACACATGAGTTCATATGCACACAGGTATCATTATACAGCCTGAATCTGGACTTTGGCCTCGAGGGCTCTCCGAATGTGGAAGTGTGTGTGTGAGACACTGGGCCTGTGTATGATGTTGTTGGTTTTGTGAAATCAGATTTGTCTGTGCATTTTGTGTGTGACTGTGAGTCTGTGGGCCATGATGTCCATGAATCTATAGTGGTTCGGTGTGAGCCTATCCCTGTGCCACTCTCTGCTTTCTGGGTGTTGTCAGAGGCTGTGGGTGATGATGTCTGTAAGACTAAGTCATTCTGTGCGGCCATGAGTGTGTGACTACCATGGCCTGGCTCTCCATGTGCACTCTGTGTATATTCATATTTGTCAGCATATATTCTGTGTGTGTGACTGTGGGTCTGCTTGCAAGTTTGTATCTCTGTGGGTGATGGCAAGTCTGCCTCTATCTCCGAGCCCCTGCATGGAGCTGAGTGCGGGGGAGTCTCTCTCCTGCTGTGGGGAAGTAAACACCCCATCCCTTGCCCACTTCCAATTGCACTTGGGGTGGGGGCATCTAGGTTAGCTTTGAACACCAGCCAGCTCTTGGCCTTTCCGGGAATTCTGTGCTCCCTGTGGGGGGTGGACAGGTGGGTAGAGGGGCCCAGGCAGAGGCCTTTTGTCCACCAAGGCCTTAAGCAGCTCAGTAGAGGTGGGCCAGGACCCCAAGTCCATCCAGTCCGACTTCCTGTTGGTGACACATGCCTGGATGGGAGTGCACAGACCCCTATATAAGATGGGCAGACAGACAGTAGAGCTCCTAGGTTAGGGTGTGGATAGGCCTCACCCAATGCATGGGCTGGGTCCCGGACTTAGGGTGTGCCTAGTTTGCAGACAGTGTGTGTCCACCCTTCCTATCCAACCACAAATGTCTTCCCCGCCTCTCTCTGGGGACCTCCAAGATCTAGGTCCTCTCTCGGCTAGGTTGCCTGTCTGAGGTTAATTTATAGTGGCCTGGCTGTGTCTGTCCATCCCTGCACTTTTTCCACTGCTGTCCCCAGGTCTGTCCATCTACCTTGCGTGCCCCTCTGCCTGAATCTGACTTTCTCTGCCTCTTGTCATCTGTCCCTGCAGGTGTCCCTCTGCCTCCTTCACTTCCTGTGTCTCCTTGTCTCTCTGGGCTGGTGTGCCTGTTTCCAACCTCTGTTTGGGGATATATCTGGCTGTGTCCACCTATCTGCCAGTTGTGTCTCCTGTTTACGACTGGGCCTGCTTTTTGCCTCTAGGTGCTTGCACAGGCCTACCCCCTGTTTGTTTCTGAGTCAGTCTACAGTCTCTTTCTCCCAGTGAATGCCCCTTTGTCTATCTGTCACTCCCCCATACCCTATCTTTCTGTCCTCTCTGTTGCCTATCCTTGTTCCTGCCTGTCTCTATTTGTGACTGTTTCTGTTACTATCTCTGTCTCTCCTCTCTGCATCTCTTCCCTCCCTCCATCCCATCCCACTGTCTGGCTGACCCTTAAGTCAATTCTTACTGCCTGCCTGGCCCTTTCTCTGGGTGTGGATCTACTCCCTCAATCTTTCTGTCCACAGCCCCTCCCCACAACCAAGACCCACACACACCTCAGTCTCCCTCCATGTGGGTCCAGATGGGAGGGGTTCCCGCCTCTCCTCACTCCCCCTCCACCTGCCCAGAAGGAGGGAAACAAAAAACGCGCCAGAAGTGGTGGGAGGAGCTGCGTTGATTGGCCACTGGGCGGGGAGGGGGGCGGGGAGCAGTTCTAGAGAGCCGCGCGGCACTGGGGACCCGAGCTCTAGTCTGAGTCCTGCCACTGGTGGAGCTGAAAAGAGCGGAGAGGTGAGAAGGGGGCGCTGGCCGGGGTGGGGGGCTTTGGAGACCCCAAGGCACAAATGGGGGTCCCGGGAGGGGGCTCAGGGGATCCCTGGATACCTTTTTTAGTATTATTGGGGAATTGAATGGGAGACGGGTCCTTTGGTAACTTGCTCCCAAGAGGGAATTCAGGAGTGGGTAGGAGTCCTCAGAGGGTGCTCATGGCTGAGGATGGTGCTCCATAAGAGCCCTCCCCTTCCCAGGAAAGGGACTCAGGACTCGGGCGGGGGTCTCCTGGAAGCAGTTTTAGCAATGATGGGGACGTAGAATGAGGGTTTCTGGGCTACCGCATTTGCAGGAAGTGAGTTCAGGGGTGAGAAATTCCATTCATAAGACAGAGGGACTGTAGATTGGCCTGGGGATCACAGAGACCCTCCCCCGCACTCCCGGAACACCAGGTCCTGGAAGGGGTTTCTGATGAGGTCTCAGAGACAGCTCCTCCTCAGGAGGGGAAATTAGGGCTCAGGCAAGATTCCTGAGGCACCCTGAGCCCAGGAAGGGTCTCAAGTCTGGAAGTGTCTACAGTTCCTTCTGCCAGAAGAAGAGTGTTTAAGACTTGACAGGGGATCTAGAAAATACCTCTGGCTCCTAAAAGGGGGATTAATGGAGGCTTCCTGGGTCACTTCTGTCCCTGGAAAGGGGCTCAGTTGGGAAATTGTCTCTGGCCTCTAGTGAGGATATTCAGAGTTATGGCAGAGAGTTTGCCAAGTCAGGGGCTGGGGTCTCCCTACCAGTTCCCACCCCCAGCCCAGTGGACAGGTTGCATCAGCTCTGGGCTAGGCTTGGGGCCCAGGATTGGGGCCCAGGCAGGAAGGAGGCGGGTAGGAGGCATTATGAGAAGTGGGGCAGTCAGCGGACACGTGGCCGGAGTGGAGACCTGGCCATGTGGTGAGGGTAAAGCAATTTTTTTTTTGGGGGGGGGGGGCGTTGGTTTGAGGGAGACCTGGCAAGGAAAGAGATAGACAGCAAGAAGAGTGAGTGTGAAGTTTGGGAGGACAGGCTATCACAGCTCCAGATGGCCATCTTGCCTGCTGTGAGGTTGCTTTCTGTCTTTATTTCTGTCTTTCTCTTTTCCTCCATATTTATCGCTTCACGTATGAGTAGCTGTGAGTATCTCTCCTCTGATGCTCTTTTCTCTCTCTCATCTCTTCCTCTCTCAGCTTCTCACTCTTTTTTAAAAATTTACTTTTAAAAATAAATGTTATAGTTTACATTCAGTATGATTTGTGTTAATTCCAGGTGTACATCATAGGAGTATAGCTTTGTATACTTTACAATGTGATCCTACTGAGATTTCAAGTACCCATCTCAGCCTTTTACTCTTCAGTTCTCTCCGTTTATTTCCCTTTCTCTGTCATCCTTCTGTTCCAGTTCCCCTCACCTCATCTCTTTCTATTTCTCTACCTGTCTGTCTCTAGCTGAACCCCTACCCCTTCACCTAGCTCTCCCACCTTGTAGCCCCCCAGCTCCATGTCTTACCCCCACCCCCTTTCTCTGCCCATAGGATGGAACTGCAGGACCCAAAGATGAATGGAGACCTACCTGTGGGTGCTGTGGGGTGAGTCAGGGCCTGAGGGGTCTGGGTCAGGGGTCAGGATTGCCTCTCATCAGCCCCAATTTCTCTGCCCTCTCCAGCTACAGGCAGGAACACGAGGGCTTCCTGCCCAGCCATAATCCTGCTCCTGGGAGGAAGCCAACCGAGTTCATGGATGTGAGTGACCCTACAGGATCAGTCCCAGCTGCACTCTGCCCAGTTCATCTCCTCCCCTACTCTTCCCTCTTCCCAGCTACTCCCCTCCTCAGCTGTTTTCCTTTGGGAGCTGTCCACTTATAGATGCTCCCCTCCAAAATATCTCCTAGTTTTCCCCTTCCTGGTTCTCCTTTTCCCAGCTCCTTCCCATCTTCAATTCCTTTTATTTCCTAACTTCTTGGTTTCTCCTCTGGCCCTTCCTGAGCTTCTTCCTGTCTCAGTCACTTCTTCCTTAGTCTTTCTGGGTCCTAGAACTCGTCTCCTTACTTGACCTCCCTACCCATGTGTTCCTGGGCCTTGCCCCTTACCCACAGTTCGAGGGGAAGACATCATTTGGAATGTCAGTGTTCAACCTCAGCAACGCCATCATGGGCAGCGGCATCCTGGGGCTGGCCTATGCCATGGCCCACACAGGGGTCATCTTCTTCTTGTGAGTTCTAAGCAACCTGGGGGGCAGGGTTGTTTGGGGGCAGGCGGGAGGCCTTGGGGCCAAGTCTGAGTTGTGCCATCTGCCACAGGATCCTGCTGCTGTGCATTGCTCTTCTGTCTTCATACTCCATCCATCTCCTGCTGACCTGTGCTGGTGTTGTAGGTGAGCCCCAGAGATCAATCCAGACGCCTGACCCACTCCCCTGACTAAGACACCAGATTTCAACCCAACCCCCCAACTCTGGACATACCACCCTGACCCCAAACCCCACTTAAATCCCTGGACTCCAGACCCCAGACTGACCTTGGCCTTCAGACCTCATTTGGACTCCCAGATCCGCAATTCCCAATCTCCAGCCTTCAGTCTGGCCATAAATCCCATTGTTCAGACCCTCCTCATCCCTAGACCAATACATTCCTCCTCTAACTCCTCCCTTCAGTCTCTAGTCCCCACAACCATGGAAGCCAGCTAGCTGTAGAACTCTGAGACCAGTGTTCAGAGACCCAGTCCTCAGACCCCAGCTTCCAAGCTTCCATTGCCCCAGATCTCAGACTTTACTGCCACCATGGACTCAGGCCATGTGTATGTGATCTCAGACTATGTATATAGTTATTTGCTCCCTTGATCCCCACTACCCAACTCCAGCCCATCTCCTACCTTCTCCTTGGCCACAGTTCCTGACCACAGAGCCCACCTCCCAGATCCCATCCCCAAGCCCAATTGTAACTAACTCTCATCCCCAGTCCCCATCAATCAGACTCAATTATTCTAAACTCCAACTCCCCAACTCCCAGACTTTTTGGCTCCTACCCTCACCCCTGGCTTCCTGGACCACAACCTGTTCCTTCCTGCCCTCCCCCCGCCCAGGCATCCGAGCTTATGAGCAGCTGGGACAGAGGGCACTGGGGCCTGTGGGGAAGGTGGTGGCGGCCATGGTCATCTGTCTGCACAATGTTGGGGGTAAGGACTCTGGGAAGTGGAGGGATCAGCGAGAGGGAAGAGGGTGGGGTGAGGTGGGCTTCCCCAGGCTGGGGAAAATGGGGTAAGGGGATGAGGGAAATCCTTTTGTTTACAACTCTCCTCACCTGTACCAGCCATGTCCAGTTACCTGTTCATCATCAAATCCGAACTCCCCCTGGTTATTGGCACCTTCCTGAACATGGAACCTGAGAGGTGAGTAAGCAACACCCCTTGGCTCTGGTCAGACTGTGATTCCTGAACATTGTGATGCCAGCAGTATGTGTGACTGTTGCTCTGACTATAGGAGTCTAATAGACCATGTTGATTTCTGTGACTGCTCTGGTTGATTCCATCTGGTGGCTGAATCTGTATGTCCAGTGTACTACCATGCTGATCATGCAACTACTCTCAGCAGATCTAAACTCTGTGGATTTTGCTTCTGTTACTGTTGTAGTGGCAGGTTCTCTGGTCAGCTGTCTGATAGCCAACTATAGCTGTGTTCTGTATACTGTAATTCCAACCATTTGTATTTGACATCTGTTTACTCTTTCTATGTTCAACAGATTCTGTTTGATTCTGGGTCCATCAGGCTGGCTGAATCTGTCTCACTATATGTGTGGTCACTGACTCCAACAGCGTGTATGTATGTGTGTGACGTATACTGTGGTGCCAACTATGTATATGTGATTTGCTCCAAATGTATGTGCCAGTAGACTCCATCTCTGTTTAATTTAGTGACCATTGTTCTGGCAAATACTCTCTGGCTTTGTGTAAGTGATCCTCACCTATAACTGTACATGTCCTCTGTATTGGTCCAACCATGTATGCTTGATGGTTGTTCTGATTATGCATTCAAATGACTGCATTTTAAAAATTCTGGATCCATATGCTGGCTGAATCTGTTCAGTTGTTTGGATATGATGGTTGATTCTGTGTATCTTTTTAGATTTTTGGCTTGATTCTGAAACCATCCAGGTAGCTGGCAGTCTATGTACCTAGGTGTGTCTAATTATTATAATCAGCTCCCACTGTATATATGGCCAATGATGCTTTGTTGGTTTATGTCGGTGTAACTGTGTGTATGTATGAGATGTGACATAGTAGGCACTCAATAAAATTCTTTTGAGCAAATGAGCAGTTGTTCAACTGATTCTGTATTAACTGTCTTGCCTGAGTACCTCCCTCCATTATCTATACAGATCCCAGTCTTTCTTTGAGTGTGGTTCCAATAGTGTGACCAGCTGGCTGAATCATGTGGTCTATATTTCTGTCTTTGGTCACATGGCCAAATCAACCCAGCTACTTTCAGGTGTTCAACAAACCTTGAGCTGTTCAAATAACCACATGTGTGTTTCTGACTTTTGTCTGATTCTGCATCATTGTCTGCCAGCCAGCCAGATCATCAGACTGTTGTTCTACCTGTCAGACACCAGGGTCATGGCTCACTCTGTGTCTGGAACTTTGTGTTGGACTATGTGAGTCTGATTGACTTGGGGTGTTGTTTACCCATCTGGTTGTGTATTCACTTGTGAGTCTGACAGCACAGTTTTGTCTAGCTGTGCATGTGTTCTCAGATGTATCCCTCTGACAGTGTCTGGCAGATAGTCTTATAATTAGTCTGGCTGTTTCTATCAATCTTGCTGTGCCATCATTGTAACCATGTGAATGACTTCTTATAGCTGAGGTGTTGGCTCATCTCCTGATTACGGGCAGACATCTGTCTGTCTGGCCATCTTCTATGTCTGCCTGACAATTTTTTTTGGCCGGCAACTAGTCACTGTGTTTGCCTGTCTGTTTAGGGGCTGGTTCTTGAATGGAAACCTTCTCATCATCATGGTTAGTGTGTTAATCATCCTGCCACTGGCCCTCATGAGACACTTGGGTAAGAGGCTTCCTGTGTTGGTCATTGGATAGTGGGGTTAGAGAAGGGTAGCTAGATTGAGAGAATCCCATTTTCAAGGGCTATTGAACACTAGGGGAGAGCTTTTTTGATGTGGGTTTTAACAGATGAATAGGAGTTTGCTCTGGAGGGGAGGCTGGTCCAAGCAGAAGTAAAAGTTTATGCAAAGGTGTGGCATAATTGGGGTAAGGGAGTCTTGAAAACCAGACTAGGGGTTTAATATATGCTGTAGGGCAAGCATGTCAAACTCGCAGCCGGCAGGCCACATGAATAAGGCATGCGGCCCACTGACCATGAGTTTGACATGATTGCTGTAGGGGGTCCCTGGATTTCTGAGTTTCTGTGTTATTGCTCCTTGCAGGCTACCTTGGATATACCAGTGGTCTTTCTCTCACCTGCATGCTGTTTTTCCTCATTTCAGTGAGTCTGAGAGAAGGACTTGAAGAAGTGGAGAGAGTTTGGGGCATTGGGACACAGCTTTCCCTATAACCTCATTTCCCCATCCTTTCTTCCTCAGGTCATCTATAAGTTCCATATTAGCTGTGATGTGGGCCACAATGAGACAGCAACAGAGAGTAAGAGCCCCCCCGTCCTTCCCAGCCAGGGACTCAACAGAAGCTGTGAGGCCCAGATGTTCATAGTGGACTCACAGGTGGGTATGCAGGCCAATAGGGCTTGCACCACACTCAGGCCCTCTGGAGTATTGGACATTGGGGGCTTCCAAGTATCTGATATGAAGAGTAGTGGTGGGGCCAGGAGTATGGAGAATAGGAGATGGAACCCTATAGGTGTTAATCTGTTGTACTTGGCCATTCCCCTAGATGTTCTACACAGTGCCCATTATGGCTTTTGCCTTTGTCTGCCACCCTGAGGTGCTGCCCATTTACACGGAGCTCTGCCGGTGAGTGGACAGGCAAGTGGGCATGTTTGATGAACCAACAGGTGGGGCAAAAATAATGTCTGACAATCCCTACAGCAGTTCTGGGACTGTAACTTGATTGTTGATTGTAGATTATGCAAAGGGAGGGGTTTGAAGTGGACAGGAGGTCTCAGGAGACACAGGGAAGTGACTGTTTACTGATTGGGGCCCAAGCATTTTACTCTTTTAACATCCAATACAGGTGTTAATGGACAGAGTGGGGCAGCAGAGATGATCAGATGGAGGGGTGGCATGCATGGATGGGGACAGGGATATGACAGGACAAAAGGGGCTCAGGGATGATATGATAGATGTGTGGATAGTTAGGTAGGGATGGTCAGATAGAAGGGAGGGGCAGGGACAGTCAAATGGAAGGGAGAGGCAGAGATGGTCAGACAGAGGATATGGGCAAAGATGGTCCTATGGGATGAGATATGGGTGGACAGAGAGGGGAGGCTTGGCTAGTTACACAAGGGAGGTAGAGATGGGAATCCAAGAGTGTACCAGCTGAATGTCAGCTCTGGGAGAAGGGGACTCTGGAGGGTGGAGGCTGGTTTTGTGGGGCCTGGACCAAGTCCAGGGATATGGGCATTACAATTCTATGACCTCTGTACCTTAGGCCCTCCAAGCACAGAATGCAAGCTGTAGCCAATGTGTCCATTGGTGCCATGTTCTGCATGTATGCACTTACAGCCACCTTTGGATACCTTACCTTCTACAGTGAGTGGAGCTGGAGCCAGGGTTGGGTGGCAGCTGGGGTTGGGACTGGGAAGACTGTTGGGGCAGGAGCCTGAGCACTTTTCCTCTATGCCTCCGGACTCATCAGTTTCCAAATGGACAGTATGCATCACACATGTAGATTTTGTTACTCTGTGTGTGTGTGGGGGGCGGGGGGAGGGACACTGGTTCTGGTTCTCCTGCCACATCCAGCATCCCTTGTCCCATGTTCTATGGCCCAGGCAGCGTGGAGGCGGAGATGCTACATATGTACAGCCAAAAGGACCTGCTCATCCTCTGTGTGCGCCTGGCAGTGCTGCTTGCAGTCACTCTCACTGTGCCAGTTGTGTTATTCCCTGTGCGTGGGGGCCAAGGCGGGGGGGACATGGAACAGAGGGACATAGGTAGAGGGTACAGGCATAGATGTTTGGATAGATGTTGGAGATAGGAGTGGATGAAGGGATGGATGGAGGAGGCAGGGATGGACAGACAGGGAAGGTAAAGTTGTCAGATGGACAGAGAAGGCAAAAATAGATGGTAGGATAGAGACAGTCTGGAGGACAGGGGTGTGGGGAAGCATGAGACTTGATTGGAATGTCTGTAAGGAGGATCCTCCAAAAGACCAGGGTCCTCTGGGGGGGGCCTTGCCAAAGGCAGCAGTCCCTACCTTGACTTTTCCGAAACAAGTCTTATCCCCGGGTGTTTTGCTATCAAGGCTTTTTTGGCTCCTTATGCCAACTAGCTCCTTAGCCTCTCTTTCACAGAAAAGTGTGTCAGAGTAATCATTCATCCATCGTTCAGAGTCTGCCGGTCAGCCCCAGCACAGGGGTAACAGTTGAAGGAAGGAGGCACAGATGTCTGTCTAGACCAGTGATGGCGAACCTATGACACGCGTGTCAGAGGTGACACGCGAACTCATTTTTTTGGTTGATTTTTCTTTGTTAAATGGCATTTAAATATATAAAATAAATATCAAAAATATAAGTCTTGGTTTTACTATGGTTGCAAATATCAAAAAATTTCTATATGTGACCCGGCACCAGAGTTAAGTTAGGGTTTTTCAAAATGCTGACACACTGAGGTCAAAAGGTTCGCCATCACTGGTATAGACAGAAGAGGGAGGCAAAAAGGGTCAGACAGAGGGTAGTGGCATAGATGGACAGTCAGAATGAAGAAACAGGCTAGGCACAAAAAGGGTGGAGGCAAAAGTAGTAAGGTATAAGAGGGAAAAACTCTCAGATGAGGAGGTGGAATGACTTGAAAGAGGGGAGAGATAGTCAGATGGAAAGGGGCAGGGATCTCAGACAGGATGGAAGGACAAATGGGTAGTCAGACAAGGGAGGAGAGATAGAGGAGGAGGCAAAGATTTCAGACAGTGGGTAGAGGCATAGATGGATGGTCAGATAAACTGGAGACAGTCAGATGGAAGGGAAATCAGGGATCTCAGACAGAGGGTGGAGGCAAAGACAGATGACCACAAGGAGGGGGAGGCAGCATTTGGGCGCTGACTTGTGTCCCACCCTACTCTGGCTACAGATCCGCCGGGCCCTACAGCAGCTGCTCTTCCCAAGCAAAGCCTTCAGCTGGCCACGGCATGTGGCCATAGCCGTGATTCTGCTCATCTTGGTTAATGTCCTCGTCATCTACGTACCGACCATCCGGGATATCTTTGGGGTTATCGGTCAGTACCCAAACCCCAGTCCCCATCTAATATGGGCCTTGTACCCCAAACTTACATAGACTCCTATTCCTCTTGCTTGTACTTCAGGGTCCACCTCAGCCCCCAGCCTCATCTTCATCCTTCCCAGTGTCTTCTACCTCCGTATTGTACCCTCTGAGGTGGAGCCCCTCTCCTCTTTGCCCAAGATCCAGGTGAGCTTTCCAGGGGAGGACTGGGGAAAGGTGCTTGCTCTGAGGATGGAGCACTCCAAGATGACTAGAGATAGAAGGAACTTTTTCAAGAGGGGCCTGGGCAAAGATGGTTCATCCAGAAAGAAAGGTGGTTAGTCTGAAAGAGTGAAGGAGATTGTCTTAGGAAGGGGCTGAGCAAACAGAGCACCAGCAGGGTCTGGGAAGACAGAGGGGACACTCAATAAGGGGTTGGCATAAGAGGGAGTGTTCTCCAGATGGAAGGTGCACTATTAGAAGAGAGTCAGGAGAACCTTCAAGGAGGATGGAGGAGAGTACTCCCTAAAGGGTTCTAGGAAGATGGAAGGAAGATTCAAGGAATGGTCTGGATTTAAGGAAAGAGGAGCACAAAGGAGAGTCAGAAATGAATGAGGACTCTCTGGAAGGCCTTGAAGAACATTCTCAGGAGGAGCTCTGCTGTGGTGACCCATCCAGTCTCATATTCTCTTCCTCTTGTCCATAGGCTCTGTGTTTTGGTGTCTTGGGGGTGCTCTTCATGGTGGTCAGTCTAGGCTTCATGGTTTTCAACTGGGCCACAGGCCGGAGCCATGTGTCTGGACACTGATCGTACCCTGGTCCAACCAGACTCCTGTGCACGTGCATCTCTGTGTATAGAGGAAGATGAGGCCACTCTCCCAGGTCCCCCCTGCCTGGTGTGTGAAGGTGGCTGATTCCCATTAACATGGCTGTCGGAAGTAGGTGGCCACAGAGACTGCAGAGTGGTCCACTGTCCTCCCCAGGGATGCTGAGCTTGGATCACAGTCCTCATCTCAACTCCACAGGAGCAGGAGGAGGCCAGGTCCTCAGAGAGCCCTTGCCCAGCCCAGTCCTTTTTGCCTCCTCCTGATAGAATCTGTCAGGATTACCCTCAAGTTAAAGGGGAAAATAAAGATGTTAGTTTCAACGTTTGCCTCAGCCTTCTCTTTCTAAAACTTCTTGGTGGAACTTGCTTAGGTTCAAACAGGGGTAAACTGAGGCCCTGAGAAGTAGTATGGAGCTGACTCTCATGTGTTCACTCACTTCTCCACTCCTTCAGTAACTTGCTACCCAACTCATTGTTTCATTCACTTGCTCATTTCAGAAACATCTATTGAGAGCCTACTAGGTGCCAGGAAGTGTTCTAGGTGCAGGGGATACAGCAGTGAATCAAGCAGATAGTTATCCTTGGAATTGATGTTCTAGCACCAGAATGGGCGAATTATGGCCCACAGGCCAAATTCAACCCACAGTCTATTTTTGGCCCTTGAACTAAGAATGGTTTGCATATTTCTAATTGATTGAAAAAAAAATCAAAGGAATAATTTGTGACACTTGAAAATTATATGAAGAAAGACTTGAATTTTCAAATTGAAAAGAGCCACTAAGTTCTGAACATGATTAATGCACACAGGCGCGCGTGCACGCACACACAAACACACTCAATAAATACAATTTCTAGGTTTAAGATACAATTCTAAAGGATAAGGTGAAGATCCCACAAGGTCCCAGAGAAAAAAGAGGAGAAAATACAATGGAGCCGTTCTTCAAAGAGATGATGAGAAATAACTTTGAACCTAGATTTCTATATCTAGCCAAGATAATCCATATGAAAGCAAAAATATTTCAGAAAATTCATCATTTACATGCCTCTTCTGAAAGGATTATGGTATGTGATTCAGCAAGAAGAAAAAAATGGATTTAGGAGGAAGGAGGGGGTTCCAATAAGCAATGGTGAGGGGAAAAACAATAAAATGTATTGAAAAGTTTAAATAAGTTTTGATTGTAAATTTTAAAAATTAAAATCTTAAACTAAAGTTCCAGGTGATATAAACATGGAGGACGAGGGGAAGTACAGGAAAGAAAAGAGTTCTTGTTTTATATATTGCCCTGGCCAGTGTACTCAGTGGTTAGAGCGTTGTCCTGAGCACTGAAGGGTTGAAGGTTCGATTCCCGGTCAAGAGCACATACCTGGGTTGCAGGTTCGATCCAGGTGCGTGCGGGAGGTAACCAATTGATGTGCCTCTCTCACATGGATGTTTCTCTCTCTCTCTCTCTCCTCTCTCCCTCCCTCCCTCCTTCCCTTCCACTCTTTCTAAAAAAATCAGGGGAAAAAGTATCCTTGGGTGAGGATTAACAACAAAAAAGAGATGGATATAGATTCTAAGTAATGGTAGAATTGTAGAATAGTTAAGAGCACTTGCCTTTTAGAGTGTAAACTCCAAAGCCAGGCTGCATGGTTTCAAATCTGGTTTCTTAGCTTACTAGCTGTGTAACCTTTTTTAAGTCAAATAACCTTTCTGTGCCTCAGTCTACTCAAGTAAACCAGGAATAACTAGGGTATCCAACTAATTGGATTTCTATGATGATTAAATGAGTTAATATATGTAACCCCTTAGAATAACACCTGTCATGTGATAAGTGCTATGTATATTTTTTATTGTTAGTAATGACTTAAAATGTCTAATATTAAAATGTAAAGGCATATCTGGTTTTAGATGAAGATGGTGAACCAGCAATAGTTGTTGGCTTCCTTCTCTAAACCCAGGCCTGCAGATGCCACAGAAGAGGTGAGGAAGTATTTGGATTTCAGGACTATTTCTAGCAATAAAACTTGATGGTTTGGTCCTCATTGGGGGATGAGATGGCTTAGAGTGGGAAAAGATTGGAGGCCACAGATGGAGAATAAGCTGAGGTGGAGCTTTCTAATTGTATCCAGAAAAGCTCATATTTTTTTTGGAAGGCTCATTACCTGTCCTGTAAACACCACAGAGTAGAAAAATGGTAGGGCTGGCTCAGTGGAGTCTGAGGTGGGATGGTCACATCAAGGCATATAGTGGGGTTGAAAAGCTCATAGAAAATTTCAGCCTGGCTGGCTAGTTATTAGGCATTCCTTCCCTAGCCCTCCATCCTCTGGGGTAGGCAATTACAATGAATAACACCTCACCCTTAATGGTGCTTGTCCTGCTGGGTGTTGTTCACAGACAATATTCGGCAAAGCAAGTCAGAAACTTTATTGTTGGCCAAAGAATGAAGAAGGATAATTGAATGCCTAATTATTCTTTCTCCTTGATTCTGGGAAATTAGGAAACTTATTAAAGGGTGGTGGTGGGGGGGTAGGTCAGTTCAGGGGTGGGGATTCCCAAGGAAGGATGTGAGGCAAGATAGAAAGAAGTTCCAGAAAAATCCTGACAAGTATAGTGAGGAAGTAGGAACTCAATCCTCTCACCGGAGTCCCCAACTCTGGGCTTGATCAAAGGGAAACAATTAATGGCAGGAAACTCCTGTGGTGGTCATTGAAGTCACAACAAGGCCCCCTCCAACCAGAAGGTGGAGTCAGAATTTGGCGCCACAAAGCTTGGAGACAACCCTCTCCTTAGAAACAAAATCCCAAGAAGTAATTGACCACAGAGCACCGAACTTGTGGTTTGGCCTATGTCCACTTGAATGCATACTTTTTGCTTCTTTCACAGAGTGCCCACACCCTGGCCTCTTTCTTTTTCTCTATCTGAATAAAACTTGCTTTGTTCTCACTTCAGTTCTTCCTTGAAATTTTTCCTGGGTGAGTTAAGGACCTGGAAGTCCCCTGACACTTGAAAAGTCCCCCACTGTGCAGGGGTAGGGCCACCCCCCTCATTCCCTTGCAGAAGCTGTCCTTAACAGGTGGAGGGATCTTGGATTTCCAAGGGAGCATGTGCAGTTCCCAAACATGTTTGGAACATATCTAGCTATACATAACTTGGCTTGGGAAGGGGTTTCAGGTGCCATCTTGGATTTTTCTGGTGCAAACAGATTTCTTGGGGGTGGTCCTTGGATTTCTCATTTGATTCCCATGAGCAGGCTTAGCTAGCCCTGGAATTTCCGCCTTTTTTTTTTTAACTAGTTCAGCCTGTTTTTTGTCAGGGGATATGTTGGAGAGAATACAAGAAAGTCACTAGAAGTTTAAAGATTAATTAATGATGTGGTGGCACAAACCAGTGACAAGAAGAAGGAGAATTTTTGTGTATTGTTAAGCAAGAATCTGCTTTAATCATTCACCATTGTAAATGTATTTTAAATTTAAAGTTCTTTTTCCCCCCAAGATGAGTATTATATCGAATTTAAAAATTCATTCTATTGCAATTGTGATAATTGCTTTACTTTGAACCTTACTGGATATTTAGACAGCTACAAACTACTCACTTTGATATATATGTACATCTTTTTAAAAGCTAAATGAGTCTCTTGCCAGCCCATAACCCATGAATGACTTTCTTAAGAGCCTTGGACCCATCTCTTTGAAATATTATGTCAAGGAAGATAAGCACCCCATCACTCTCTCACCTGGGAGTTTACCCTAGGTCCCTGGCTCCAAGCTATAAACAGTTCAGTCGCTTGACATAGACATAGTTTAATTTTTCTTTCAGAAAAAAGCAATTAGCTAGCACAGCTGACTATTACAATTACCAGGTGAATTTAGGACTTCCCTGGGGGCATTTGGTTCTCACATTTGGATGCTCCTGTAAAGAAAGGCCACTGAGCTGCACACTTGAACTTTCCGGCTCCTTCCACCATATTTGGGATGTATGAAACACTACACCTCCAAGTGTGGTATCTGGTTTCCAAAACAGCTGCCCCAGGGGCCAGATGATGCAGTCTAGAAATATGGGGGAGTTAATATCTGTTAGGTACATTTTGACCATTAAGAAAAGAAATGGACTGAGCCAGGCAAATTCTCCCTCCTTCCTCCCTCTCGTGCACTATTCTGTGCAGTTTCTTTTTTCTTTTTTTTTAAATTAAATCTTTATTGTTCAGATTATTACATTAGTTACTCTTTTTTCCCAACATAACTCCCCTCCACCCAGTTCCCACCCCACCCTCC